ACTTCTTAATGTCCAGCGACTTTTGCTTGTTTTCTCAGTAGATGACTGAAATGTTTCATGGAACATCAGCCAACATTAAGTCTGAAAAACTAATGGGCACGAATTGAAACTTGATTTGAGAAACCGAATAACGTGAAAGTCAGTTTAACTCCAAAAAAATGCCACCAAAGCGGAAACTCGTTTGATTTTATCCCAGTATCGTTGTAATTGACCTAACTGAGTAGATGTTGGCCAGCTGTCTTACATTCCTTGCTACGGAAGCGTAGAAGCCCTACAAATTTGAATACCTAGTACAAGTCAGCAAATTGACCACAATGTGACCAATTTCAGAATTTTTATTCCTGACTTGTGATCGTCTAACTGAGCTGAGAGTTGACTGATGCCAAGCTGGTTAGTATATAAACTAGATTATCATGCGTATTGCATACTTCATACTGTAACGAAGAATGCGACACAGATGAGGACACTTGTGTTTGTGTGACCAAACAAATCGAGTCGGTGAAGCGTGTACAATCGTTTACATAGCCAGTTTATCCAGACCGAGCTGCAGCTGCATGTATCCGTCGTCTGCCTGATCATTTTGATTGTGTTCTGGCAAACAGCCTGTGACCATCAGCTTGATTCTCTTGTGCTATATTTCTGTTCTTTTGATCTGACACGTTGACCGGTAGCCCCTCACATGAGCTTTCATACTGATTGACTGAGATCTTGCTGCCTCCCATTGGGTAGTCCAAATTCCTCTCATTGTCTGTTGTAGAACGCCTGGGACATAATAACCGTTTGTTCTTTGATCTGTAGCTCTCACTCGGTTGACCCGATAGGTTTCATATTTGTATTTTCCACCAGCCCAAGCACTTCCCGCTATAATATGACATAGTCCATATAAATGAATATTTTCGGGAGTATCGATAGAGGGGATGTACATGTACCATCAAAATTTCCAGAGTACGTGTCCTTATGAACCACCACAGATACAAGAAATGTGATATGTCCATTGGGTTTAGTGAAGATGGTGCTCTTAGCAGTTATGAAACCAATCTTCTCAGAATGCTACAGGATGAAGTTCGAAGTCAAGGTGATTGCGAATATGAGATAACTTATTTTATTTGACGCTGCTGAGTGGGTGGTAAATAAGTCCTATCCTGACAGCTTTATATTCCGAATTCCGAGTTATGACAGAAAATGTTATGCTGGAGTTTAACAAGCTTCCGCGAAAAGTCCCGCTAGCTGGTAATTGAATTATTGAGTTAGAGACCTGAAAATAAGGACAGCTCGAAATAATTATGGTGCTGTGATTGATAAACCTCGCACTTCTTTTAGAGACGTACAATGAAGCTACACGGCATAGTTGTTGATGCAAACGCGTAGCAGTCGAACTCAAGCACTTAGACAATGATGCCTGAAATCCATACCTCCTAGCTTTTACTGTGTTTCAAAATACTACCAAACAGGCCGAGTGCACATCATTACTCGACACTTTATATGATGGGAATGATACTCGATAAACTATGAATGAAACTGTGGGAAAAAAGACTGGTGCAGTGTCCCGCATATTTTGGTAGAGCACAAATACATGACGCGTAGCGCAAAACGGGGAGAATTATGTCAACGAGGTATTTCATCAGTGGGTTAGATACCGAAGACTCCGTTTTTTGTTTTCTTTTGCATACTGCTGTGTCAGGGTGGTAAAAATACATTTGTCGCGCATAACCTTTATGAGACTGATTATTTGGAAGCACTTGTACAGACACCGGCTCAAGAAAAGGGCTATACAATCACAGGTATCACCGAAAAGTCTTTTTTATTCGATCGGTAACACTCGCCCTTATAGTTTCAATGATTAGCTCGGCAGTGGAGACGACGAGATCCCTACACGGCTTTTCTAGCATTGTTATAAGTCATCGACACTGCTTGCGCTCCCGGTTTGTTATGGGACTCAAAACTGAGGGAAGAATTGTGAGTCTAATTTCTAGCCATTGGGCTATATGCGGGTGATCATCTGCAGTTTTTTAAATTAAAGAAGTTTCTGTAATAATCAGTTATCAACGGCTAATTTCTTACGAATTCCTCCACATAAAACATTTAAGTTTTCGTTGGACTTAGAAACTGAATGTGGAAGGGTAAGGTTATTCAACTGACCAACAGCTTATACCCACGCTTACATTTGAAGCCGTATGCCCAGTGAAACATAAGAGGGCATATTCTATTTCCCATTGACAGCGTATCAACCAATGAATTAAACTGGCCGTCAGTTGCAGAATTATGAATCCCAGATTGTTTCCCCTTGTCCCAAACTACAGAAGCAAGTCCATCTCATTTTAGCAGATGAACACCGAATTCTTCCCTTGTGAATCATCACTAGTTGTTTGAGTATGTCTGAGCTTTGCAATCAAGTTTTAGGTAACGATGATAATCTATAATTGAAACCCGGTTTTCGATGTTCATTATATCTTATTCCTAATTGATTTACGGAATATATTGTGGGCCGAAATGCCTTGCAATCCTGCTTCTCGGAAGCCAAAATGAACGATATGTGTGAAATAATCATAAAACGTTTGACGTACTTCTAGTCGCATCACATGGATTCTCTTTGAGATAGTATGACAATGGGCTCCTCTACGCAGAAATCGTGCAAACGTGACTATATTACTTGACAGAATTGTAACTCACTAAAATGTATTTGGTTAAAATATTGATCACATCTTATTCTCCATTTGTAGCATGGCAAGGCAAATTGTTACCAGTCATCTGGGATTTGTATACTCTTATTTTTTCACCACTTTCCTTGAAATCATGCAGTATTCTCACTCTTGTCACTTACTACTGAACATACGTTTATTTCACGTAATAGTGAAAGTTGAAGTATGAATGATACTTCGATATATCACAACTTCAGGAAAAATATCAGCATCAAATGACCCAATTGTGCCTAAGAGTACAAAAATGTTGTCAACTCGACGGGTAGTGTCATCAAATGCACAGAAATACCTTGTCTCGACTATTTGTAGGGTTGGACACTAGTGAAGCTGCTTTATTCAGAAAAGTAAATTTGTATTCGTCTCCCCAGCAGATGACGTGTTTGGTTCTGCTATTCCATGGCATAGGACGAGTACGACGGATAACACCAATTCATGCAGACGTTTTTTGTTCTAACCATTCGGCGTAAGCTTTCTTAATTCTGATCTCCAAAGACATGTTTACCTGTGAGTGGGTGGTCACAGTATATCACCGGAACGGAGGTAGGGTCTACGTTTGCCGCAGTAGGTGTGCCTGGAGAACTACGAGAAGACAAGTTTTGTCTGGTAGCCAAAACTCACACCTTTGGTTATCTCTGACTTGTCAGAAACGGAATTTTATCTTCAAAACAATTATTATGGTCGCCTTGTGTTAACTGTACTGATTGTGTGGGCGGATTTAACCAATTCCAGTAGAGTTATACAGGTTAGACGTACACAGTTTATTCAGTGACAAAAATTAAGCCATCATCCCAATTCATCAGAAAAAGCTGCTTTAGAATCCCTAACCCAGAAACCTCTGATAATACCACCTGGATGAAAATCTGTTACGTTTTTCGATATACTCTCATTGTTACCTTACATTATAGCAATCTTCGTTGACATGGTGCTATGGTAAATTATGAAGGACTTTCAATGAATGAATTCGGAAAATTACATATATTGTCAAGAACCATCATCGGAACATGTGATTGTTGATTCCCAGGATTCTCATAAACGAGTATTCGCGGCAGTATGGTGTTCTGGTAGAACACATCCAATAACTGTTGAGTTCTGCGGAGCACATCTTTCATGTACAGCTTAGAGTACCCCCGTATTCCCAAACAAATGAACACGTCTGAATGCAAGAATATTAGTAGAGTGGGCGCATGAATGTTGTAAAACGCGATGTGCCCCTAGCCTTTATTTGTTTAGTCTTTGCCTGCTCATGATTATGCACATTTGTTGAGTAAAGCTGAAATAGTATCAGCTCTGCCCCCGAGTCAATGCAAATCTAAAAAAATGAACAAATGGTAGTTAGTTCAAAAGTTATCGTGAGTATCATTGAATAGACCGAGTCATGGGAATCTGTCTTCAGTTTTGATTGCGATATGGATTGACCGCTTTGCTGTAAAGGTTGACAAAACATGACGATTGATTATCTCTACTACCATATTTCCTTCCATGAAAGTTGAACAGTAACACGGTTACAGTCCCTGCAATATAGAACATTTCGACAGTGATTGTAATGATATAAGTGATTCCATAGATACAAGTACAAAATATTTTATGGCTATTAATTGCAGAGCACGACTTCATAGATACGGCTAATGATTCTGCAATGTATCACTCCCGGAAATTATGCCCGATTCAGTAACCTGTGTATTCAATCAGGAGTAAAAGACCAGAATTCTCTTTTAATTTCTTGATAGGTATTTACGCCATTGCTTTCTGAATTCATAATGTGGATTTAAACAAGACCTTTATCACTTGATTTCAACCAAATACAACGACAGTCACAATTTCCAGACAACTACTATGCTGAAGAATTCACGTGATCCACGTTGTTGTTTGCATTTCAGCTAAGCCTGAGGCGAAGCTTACCAGAATAAAATAGCCATAGCATCCAGCAACCAGCTAATCTTCTTGGAATAAATAAAATGGAACTAACTAATAGTAGCACAACCAGATAAATGATCACCAAAATGATCTAGTGAGTTTCAGCAAATATAGAACATGTAACCACTCACTCCTACGACAAGAGCCGGGGTGAAGATAATTTTCAGGTGATTGCAATATTTGGCTTATCTCGGAAAAAACCCACATGTGGTCATATTGAGAAGCTTCATGGTGACTTCGCTCAATTATGTGCTAGTTTTAGAAAGACACGTGGATGTTTTTGATCGACGCTATCCAAACATATAAAAGCAAAATGAAATAAACCCGACTTACATTTTTTCAGACCCTCCATTATCTTGGCATCCATCGTACAACCAACATAAACTGATGATGCGAATTCTCGCAATATTATTGCCGATGGTTGTGTGTTTGCATGCAATGCGTAAGTACTATTGTGACTAGGAGGGAATGATTTTTACAAGCATTTATTTCCACGGTGATTTTCATGGATATGTGTACTTTTACCTTGAGCGAACATGATTTTGTGAATATTACTGTAGAAGATTGTGGAAGCCGTTGAAAATATTAGGCAACCAGAAGAGGAGGTGGGTACATTCATAATAACCAACATGACATTGAGTTACACGGCATTGCAATTTAAAAGAATAACATACCGAAAATAACGAATAACTACAAGTGTGTTAAGGTGTTACCTAATACAGAGAGAAGTACTCGAATATTCGCGGAGGGGAGGGGGCAAAGTTGGGAAGGTAAAATGAGTCATTGAAATAGGGAGCCATGAGAGAAGCACTTGGTTAGCTAGGAGAAGAACAAGCAAATCACAAAAGGCAGGCAAGCTGAAATTGACACAACATGAACGCAGCTATCTAAATAAACCTTGGTAATGATGCTTACAAACAATGAAAAAACCTGGACCATGCTCATATAGAATGGAATATAGCATGAATATATACACATTTATCATTATTTCTCGCTCCATTCCTGTCACATCCGATGCGATTGATTTGTCAATCTTGCTTCGTTTCTCGATCCTCATCGTCCAATGCGAGTTGAGATGAGAAATTGTGCCTCAAAAATTGCTCAATTTATCCGACCAATATTCGGCTCATTCTTTGACAACAAAATCACACAACCATCACTGAGCAATGACATGATCCAGTTGTACATGATTCGCAGCTGAATGTGTGTACATTAGACCAGTTGATCCAATTATACATTCTCACTTTTGACAGTGAGAACAAGTTGACCGTGCGACAAGTGGTATGCTTTGCTAAGCAAAAAGCAAGCAATCAAACATACCTGAATGGACCCGATCTGATCAGGTCTGATCACATCTGTTTGATTTTTGTCTGATCTGATTTCGTATTGGGATGTGTGAGTGATCAAGCTGTTCCCGGACAATTGGTTAAATCGGACACATGAACGCACACGACTCCGATCGATTCAATACTCCTCTAGTTCACTCGTTCATGTGGTTAAATTGGTTGTCAAGTTTTCAATCAAATAGAACACACGATCTGATTGGACACGTTTGTCCAATTGAATACAATACTAGCCAACTTCTCTGCATTTTTCCCACTCAAATAGGTACGTCGAATAATGCGGACAGCACAGACGAACAAACCACACAAACGTCTCCATCCCAACCAATGACCACAATGGTCTCACAAAGTGAGCACACATTCCCTACCTATCCTTCCGTTTCTCCATCGAACCATCTCAGTATGTATCTGATGATATACACATTGCCATACATCTATCTGCACACACACACGAACGGTACAACAAATGTTCAACCTAGACCATGCTCATATAGAATGGAATATAGCATGAATATATACACATTTATCATTATTTCTCGCTCCATTCCTGTCACATCCGATGCGATTGATTTGTCAAACTTGCTTCGTTTCTCGATCCTCATCGTCCAATGCGAGTTGAGATGAGAAATTGTGCCTCAAAAATTGCTCAATTTATCCGACCAATATTCGGCTCATTCTTTGACAACAAAATCACAACCATCACTGAGCAATGACATGATCCAGTTGTACATGATTCGCAGCTGAATGTGTGTACATTAGACCAGTTGATCCCCTTATACATTCTCACTTTTGACAGTGAGAACAAGTTGACCGTGCGACAAGTGGTATGCTTTGCTAAGCAAAAAGCAAGCAATCAAACATACCTGAATGGACCCGATCTGATCAGGTCTGATCACATCTGTTTGATTTTGTCTGATCTGATTTCGTATTGGGATGTGTGAGTGATCAAGCTGTTCCCGGACAATTGGTTAAATCGGACACATGAACGCACACGACTCCGATCGATTCAATACTCCTCTAGTTCACTCGTTCATGTGGTTAAATTGGTTGTCAAGTTTTCAATCAAATAGAACACACGATCTGATTGGACACGTTTGTCCAATTGAATACAATATTAGCCAACGTCTCTGCATTTTTCCCACTCAAATAGGTACGTCGAATAATGCGGACAGCACAGACGAACAAACCACACAAACGTCTCCATCCCAACCAATGACCACAATGGTCTCACAAAGTGAGCACACATTCCCTACCTATCCTTCCGTTTCTCCATCGAACCATCTCAGTATGTATCTGATGATATACACATTGCCATACATCTATCTGCACACACACACGAACGGTACAACAAATGTTCAACCTAGACCATGCTCATATAGAATGGAATATAGCATGAATATATACACATTTATCATTATTTCTCGCTCCATTCCTGTCACATCCGATGCGATTGATTTGTCAATCTTGCTTCGTTTCTCGATCCTCATCGTCCAATGCGAGTTGAGATGAGAAATTGTGCCTCAAAAATTTCTCAATTTATCCGACCAATATTCGGCTCATTCTTTGACAACAAAATCACACAACCATCACTGAGCAATGACATGATCCAGTTGTACATGATTCGCAGCTGAACGTGTGCACATTAGACCAGTTGATCCAATTATACATTCTCACTTTTGACAGTGAGAACAAGTTGACCGTGCGACAAGTGGTATGCTTTGCTAAGCAAAAAGCAAGCAATCAAACATACCTGAATGGACCCGATCTGATCAGGTCTGATCACATCTGTTTGATTTTGTCTGATCTGATTTCGTATTGGGATGTGTGAGTGATCAAGCTGTTCCCGGACAATTGGTTAAATCGGACACATGAACGCACACGACTCCGATCGATTCAATACTCCTCTAGTTCACTCGTTCATGTGGTTAAATTGGTTGTCAAGTTTTCAATCAAATAGAACACACGATCTGATTGGACACGTTTGTCCAATTTAATACAATATTAGCCAACTTCTCTGCATTTTTCCCACTCAAATAGGTACGTCGAATAATGCGGACAGCACAGACGAACAAACCACACAAACAGTTCCATCCCAACCAATGACCACAATGGTCTCACAAAGTGAGCACACATTCCCTACCTATCCTTCCGTTTCTCCATCGAACCATCTAAGTATGTATCCGATGATATACACATTGCCATACATCTATCTGCACACACACACGAACGGTACAACAAATGTTCAACCTAGACCATGCTCATATAGAATGGAATATAGCATGAATATATACACATTTATCATTATTTCTCGCTCCATTCCTGTCACATCCGATGCGATTGATTTGTCAATCTTGCTTCGTTTCTCGATCCTCATCGTCCAATGCGAGTTGAGATGAGAAATTGTGCCTCAAAAATTGCTCAATTTATCCGACCAATATTCGGCTCATTCTTTGACAACAAAATCACACGACCATCACTGAGCAATGACATGATCCAGTTGTACATGATTCGCAGCTGAACGTGTGTACATTAGACCAGTTGATCCCCTTATACATTCTCACTTTTGACAGTGAGAACAAGTTGACCGTGCGACAAGTGGTATGCTTTGCTAAGCAAAAAGCAAGCAATCAAACATACCTGAGTGGACCCGATCTGATCAGGTCTGATTACATCTGTTTGATTTTGTCTGATCTGATTTCGTATTGGGATGTGTGAGTGATCAAGTTGTTCCCGGACAATTGGTTAAATCGGACACATGAACGCACACGACTCCGATCGATTCAATACTCCTCTAGTTCACTCGTTCATGTGGTTAAATTGGTTGTCAAGTTTTCAATCAAATAGAACACACGATCTGATTGGACACGTTTGTCCAATTGAATACAATATTAGCCAAATTCTCTTCATTTTACCCACTCAAATAGGTACGTCGAATAATGCGGACAGCACAGACGAACAAACCACACAAACGTCTCCATCCCAACCAATGACCACAATGGTCTCACAAAGTGAGCACACATTCCCTACCTATCCTTCCGTTTCTCCATCGAACCATCTCAGTATGTATCTGATGATATACACATTGCCATACATCTATCTGCACACACACACGAACGGTACAACAAATGTTCAACCTAGACCATGCTCATATAGAATGGAATATAGCATGAATATATACACATTTATCATTATTTCTCGCTCCATTCCTGTCACATCCGATGCGATTGATTTGTCAATCTTGCTTCGTTTCTCGATCCTCATCGTCCAATGCGAGTTGAGATGAGAAATTGTGCCTCAAAAATTGCTCAATTTATCCGACCAATATTCGGCTCATTCTTTGACAACAAAATCACACAACCATCACTGAGCAATGACATGATCCAGTTGTACATGATTCGCAGCTGAATGTGTGTACATTAGACCAGTTGATCCAATTATACATTCTCACTTTTGACAGTGAGAACAAGTTGACCGTGCGACAAGTGGTATGCTTTGCTAAGCAAAAAGCAAGCAATCAAACATACCTGAATGGACCCGATCTGATCAGGTCTGATCACATCTGTTTGATTTTGTCTGATCTGATTTCGTATTGGGATGTGTGAGTGATCAAGCTGTTCCCGGACAATTGGTTAAATCGGACACATGAACGCACACGACTCCGATCGATTCAATACTCCTCTAGTTCACTCGTTCATGTGGTTAAATTGGTTGTCAAGTTTTCAATCAAATAGAACACACGATCTGATTGGACACGTTTGTCCAATTGAATACAATATTAGCCAACTTCTCTGCATTTTTCCCACTCAAATAGGTACGTCAAATAATGCGGACAGCACAGACGAACAAACCACACAAACGTCTCCATCCCAACCAATGACCACAATGGTCTCACAAAGTGAGCACACATTCCCTACCTATCCTTCCGTTTCTCCATCGAACCATCTAAGTATGTATCTGATGATATACACATTGCCATACATCTATCTGCACACACACACGAACGGTACAACAAATGTTCAACCTAGACCATGCTCATATAGAATGGAATATAGCATGAATATATACACATTTATCATTATTTCTCGCTCCATTCCTGTCACATCCGATGCGATTGATTTGTCAATCTTGCTTCGTTTCTCGATCCTCATCGTCCAATGCGAGTTGAGATGAGAAATTGTGCCTCAAAAATTGCTCAATTTATCCGACCAATATTCGGCTCATTCTTTGACAACAAAATCACACAACCATCACTGAGCAATGACATGATCCAGTTGTACATGATTCGCAGCTGAACGTGTGTACATTAGACCAGTTGATCCCCTTATACATTCTCACTTTTGACAGTGAGAACAAGTTGACCGTGCGACAAGTGGTATGCTTTGCTAAGCAAAAAGCAAGCAATCAAACATACCTGAATGGACCCGATCTGATCAGGTCTGATCACATCTGTTTGATTTTGTCTGATCTGATTTCGTATTGGGATGTGTGAGTGATCAAGCTGTTCCCGGACAATTGGTTAAATCGGACACATGAACGCACACGACTCCGATCGATTCAATACTCCTCTAGTTCACTCGTTCATGTGGTTAAATTGGTTGTCAAGTTTTCAATCAAATAGAACACACGATCTGATTGGACACGTTTGTCCAATTGAATACAATATTAGCCAACTTCTCTGCATTTTTCCCACTCAAATAGGTACGTCGAATAATGCGGACAGCACAGACGAACAAACCACACAAACAGTTCCATCCCAACCAATGACCACAATGGTCTCACAAAGTGAGCACACATTCCCTACCTATCCTTCCGTTTCTCCATCGAACCATCTCAGTATGTATCTGATGATATACACATTGCCATACATCTATCTGCACACACACACGAACGGTACAACAAATGTTCAACCTAGACCATGCTCATATAGAATGGAATATAGCATGAATATATACACATTTATCATTATTTCTCGCTCCATTCCTGTCACATCCGATGCGATTGATTTGTCAATCTTGCTTCGTTTCTCGATCCTCATCGTCCAATGCGAGTTGAGATGAGAAATTGTGCCTCAAAAATTGCTCAATTTATCCGACCAATATTCGGCTCATTCTTTGACAACAAAATCACACAACCATCACTGAGCAATGACATGATCCAGTTGTACATGATTCGCAGCTGAATGTGTGTACATTAGACCAGTTGATCCCCTTATACATTCTCACTTTTGACAGTGAGAACAAGTTGACCGTGCGACAAGTGGTATGCTTTGCTAAGCAAAAAGCAAGCAATCAAACATACCTGAATGGACCCGATCTGATCAGGTCTGATCACATCTGTTTGATTTTGTCTGATCTGATTTCGTATTGGGATGTGTGAGTGATCAAGCTGTTCCCGGACAATTGGTTAAATCGGACACATGAACGCACACGACTCCGATCGATTCAATACTCCTCTAGTTCACTCGTTCATGTGGTTAAATTGGTTGTCAAGTTTTCAATCAAATAGAACACACGATCTGATTGGACACGTTTGTCCAATTGAATACAATATTAGCCAACGTCTCTGCATTTTTCCCACTCAAATAGGTACGTCGAATAATGCGGACAGCACAGACGAACAAACCACACAAACGTCTCCATCCCAACCAATGACCACAATGGTCTCACAAAGTGAGCACACATTCCCTACCTATCCTTCCGTTTCTCCATCGAACCATCTCAGTATGTATCTGATGATATACACATTGCCATACATCTATCTGCACACACACACGAACGGTACAACAAATGTTCAACCTAGACCATGCTCATATAGAATGGAATATAGCATGAATATATACACATTTATCATTATTTCTCGCTCCATTCCTGTCACATCCGATGCGATTGATTTGTCAATCTTGCTTCGTTTCTCGATCCTCATCGTCCAATGCGAGTTGAGATGAGAAATTGTGCCTCAAAAATTGCTCAATTTATCCGACCAATATTCGGCTCATTCTTTGACAACAAAATCACACAACCATCACTGAGCAATGACATGATCCAGTTGTACATGATTCGCAGCTGAATGTGTGTACGTAGACCAGTTGATCCCCTTATACATTCTCACTTTTGACAGTGAGAACAAGTTGACCGTGCGACAAGTGGTATGCTTTGCTAAGCAAAAAGCAAGCAATCAAACATACCTGAATGGACCCGATCTGATCAGGTCTGATCACATCTGTTTGATTTTGTC